TTCTTCTTTTCTCTAATTTTCTTTCCAAACAACTGAGTGAATTTCTCTTGCAGATAAAGGAACCATTCTCCATTATGTCACTGGTGAAAACTCCAGTAGGCCTGATGATTGGATTTACGCTGTTTGTAATGTTTCTGATGCCAAAATTAGCAGAAAATATGGGTGAGTGTGCTCTATTTTTTTCACCAAAATGAAGTTGGCTACACATGCAATAGGGTGGTAAATCCACAATGCAGTTCCAATTATCCATCCATAATGCTAGAGTTTTGTGCTTTGCGATTAATATGTGGTTCACTAGGGATTAGTATCCGATGGTATCTATGCGATTTTATCCATTTTACCTATCAATCTCTGATTTTCTTGATTGAATTGGATGGCTTTACAAACATTTTTCTTTTCTTCTTTTCTAAGTTGATAAGCGATGACCTTAAGGTGTTTTAGAGTACTATTCCGCGTTACATGAGATACAGTTAAACTTGAATTGAGTGCAGTAGTATGTGACAAGGTGAAAGAAACACAAGAACAAAAACACGGATAGGAAGGTACTCGAGGCCGATTGACAGGAGAGGGAAAAAAGCTTACAATGTTGTTTGCATTACTATAATGACCTTACTGATCCTTTCTAGCTGTCAAAAAGTTCCTTACAAATTTTATTCCTGGATCTTGTTCCCCTTGGATGAATTAAATATTAATCCAACCCTTTACAATCCATAAGGTGTGGATGACTTATTTTCATCCACGTCTTTTTCTCCGATTTTCATCCATGCTCAATTAATCCTATTTGATCTGTCAAAATCCGTCATCCTCTTTGCACCCATTGTTTGCAGATCAAGTGTTACATTGATGCTATAAGAGGTAGACTCTGTTGGTAAACCTATATTCTCTTCTGTACAGCATAGAGTTAAGTGATCATGAGACGAAACTCTATTGCTTGCATTTCCTGAAGTTACTTTAACTTTTTGGTTCTTGATTTATTGCCATTCCGCTGCTAGATCAAACAGACATTACATAAGATTTATCGCGCTAATGTGCTGATCTTTTTTACGTGGCAGATCCTGAAGAAATAAGACGAACACAAGAGGAAATGAGAAACCAAGGAGTTCCAACTCTTTCAAGCTTATTGCCTCGGGCTCAAAGAGCAGCAACTAGAGAGTCGAGACAGGATTAAGAACTCTGAAAATCCTCTGCTAGAAAGGGATATTCTTCGTTTCCATTCTATGGAAATGCTGAAAACTTAGTTTCAACAATCCATCTCAAACTTTCTGAACTTTCTGAGTACGTACCATCATTAGTTCCTTTTATCACATGCAAAGATCCTACATTTCCTTTTTGGTTAAAGTTGTAGGCCTCTGTTATCAGGTTTAAGCGTCGATTATCCTAAAAAAAATTTAATATTTTATTGCATGTAATCCAATGCCAATATTATTGTTATCTCAACGTAAAATTTCGCACAACTAATAGAGTACCTGGTTTGCCACATAAATTCAGTATTGTTAATTTTTTTTCTAAAATTAATCTCGAAACAAATTATATGGACCGTTGTTGGGTTTTCTAAAAATGGGAGCCACAAGAAGATTAAAAGTATTGATTGAAAATATTTCTCTTTTTTAATTAAACATAGAGGGTATTAAATAGCCAACTTGAGAACGTAATCTGCCGAAAAATCTGCGTAACAAGAATTCAAAAAAAGCTAAAATATCTCAATCAGCCAAAAAATCTATATAGAAATTTAAATTCAAAAAGTAGATTCATCAGCATGCTAAAAAAGCGCAACAGTAACTGAAGCAAATGTTCAACATTCCTCCTTTGCTTCAGTTGCTGAAATCTAAAAAAATCATCCACATCAATTACTGCTTCTGTTGTTTGTGCGTGCGGAATGTGTTGAGTGTCTTTGAACTTGCACATTTTTTAACATGGCCTGTTGTTTGCAATATCCACATATTGCATGAGGTCTCCACCTGCAAATTTTTTCAAAGTGTATTTTTTTTTTGCAGTATTTGTAAAGAGAATATTTGACCTTTTCTTTTACGTTTTGTGCATAAAAAGCACGTTCAATAACTATATCTTGTCTAAATGTTCTTCTTAATTTGTCTTGTGCTTGAAGAGTACTTATTAATTCTGCAACATAGATGGTAGGGAGATTTTTAGACTCTTTTAAAAGAAAAAATTCCGGACTTGAATCTCTCTAGAATCGTCACTAGAATTTTTTCTACTATCCTGTCATCTTCGAAATCCTCGCCAAGCAACTTGATTCTATTAACAATAGAAGAAATCGCGTCAGAATACCTAGGGATAGTCTCGTCTTCTTGCATCCTAAGAAATTTAAAATTCCTTTTCAAATTCAGAATCTGCATTTATGTAATTTGACTCGATCACTTCCTTGGTATTCCCTTTTGAGCTTTTCCCAAACTTTTTTTTGTTGTCTCACATGCAATGATTTTAGAAAATTAAATCTTTAATTGATTTGAATTACAATTTTCGTTTTGTATTTTTTGGTTCTCTTTTGAACGGGATTTAATTTGGGAAAGGGTAGGATTTAGAGGGAGTGATTGTAATCTATCTTCCATTATAACTTACCATAGATCATAGGTTTTAACATATAATTTCATTTTCACCGACCAAATCTGATAATTTTCATGAGTGAAAAATGATGGAGCACCAAAGAGAGACTGTTTCTTGGTATGATTGAAAAACAAATTTAAAAATGGAAATTGGTTAAAAATAATTTGAAACGGCTGTTTGGAAGAGCTCACAAATACCGTAAGATCAATGAGGCTCTGATACCACCATTGACTTTTTTAAAAATTGGAGCCGCAAGAAGATTAAAATTATTAGTTGAAAATGTCTCTCCCTTTTATTAAACATAGAGGCTTTAAATAGCCAACTTGGTAACATAATCTGCAGAAAAATCTGCATAACAAGAATTCAAAAAAGTTAAAATATCTCAGCAAACCAAAAAATAACAGAAATTTAAATTCAAAAAGTAAAATCATCTAAAACTAAGCAACTTATTAGGCTAAAATAAATACAGTAGTAACTGTAGTAAATATTCAACAACCATACGTAATTTAAGATAATAATTCTTATTATTTCCACAACATATTCCGGAAGAGGAAATGTTTACAATGAATGTGATTAGGGGTGGCGAAATAGGTAAAACAAAACAAGTAACCACCCATATTATCCGCTAAAATATGGGTTGGATAATGAACATTTTAAAAACGGATCAAATACAGATATTACACATATTATCCACATTTTAAATGGGTAACCACCAGTTATCCATAGGTAATAAAGTCAAAACCTCCCCCAAAAGTATTTTCGCCCCCTTTTACCCCAAAAGCACACAACAGGATCAAATGTATAATTCATTAGGCACATTGTTCTGTTGAATTGATTATAATAAAATGTGTGAATCATGTCAAAAGATAAATGGATAATGTTATTGACCAGCGTAATTAATATCTCGTAGTGAATAACTTTTGTTAAGAGTGTTTAGCGCGAAGATATAATTATCTTTTTAACTGAACTTTTGATTTATTAATATCACCAACCATTAGTAGTTGGTGGAGATGCAATATTAGCTACGATTTCGAATGAATTAGTATTTGTATTAGAAAATCCATTAAAACATCTAATTATTTAATTGCGAACTCAATAATTAAAACAAGCTACTATTAAGCACGTTCAGAACCCATAAGTTTCAAATTATGACTCCATCCCTGTCAATAATCCTAAGGTTTGTCTAAGGTCGTGTTGTTTTATCTCTTTCAAACTCGCTCGTCTTTTATTTTTATTTTACACCAAATTATTAGTGTGTCCTTGAGCCCAGGGTCTTCAAAAACAGTCTTTCTACCTTCAAGAGGTGAGGGTAAGGTATGCCCATATATTATATCCTTCACATACCTCGCTCGTGTGATTATACAAAGTATGTTGTTATTGTTGTTTGTTGTACCAAATTATTAGTGCAATATTTAAGAAGAAAAAAGAGCAATTAATTGTACTCTTTTTAGATAGTATTTTTCCGTTAATGCGGGGGTTCAACAGTAGAGTGGTACAGGAATGAATTTTGTACATGTAGTTGATGGCTGTCAATTGTATCTTCCTCCATTTTGCTTGATGATCAACTGGGTCACTGAACAGTTAAGGCTAATGTGAGGTCATGAACGGATAATACGGTTAATTATCCGCCGGTTAATCCGTTTTTTTTCCGTATTAAATATATCGTTCGGGTCGAATATTTTACCCGTTTTTTGTATTACCCATTTTTATCTGACCCGTCTATTTGCCACCCCTAAATGTGATAGAGATAAGATCGAGAATCGAAGAAAGTAAAGAATTAGAGATAAGCATTTTTATTTGGTGTTAAAGAGCAACTCCGATGAGGAATATCTATAAAGAAAAAAATGGAGTACTAACAGATTGTGAGATAGAAGTGAATCTAATACCAAATGAATCTTACGTCCTGCCACTTACGTCTTCACTATTACGTCATCTTTGCAACGACTATATAAGCGGCTTATGTTAATGCAATGTACGGTTTATTACACTGTAAACACTAATTAGGTACATTTTTTTTAAAAATATTATCAAGTCACTGAAATGATAATTACATGTAACCATCTATTAAAGTACACTAATAGGGTAAAAGTATTTTAATTTCAATTGGCAGTTATATATACTGTATAACATTAAAATTCAAATGAGTTTAAGATTTATTGTATTAGGACAATGTATATTTTTTTTAACGTATAAGTATAACAATTATTTACACAATTACTACTATAATTTAAACCTTCGTACTTAATTTAATTATTAGGATAATTCTCATCATCTTCATTATGGATCACTCATTTTCTTCAGTCCAAGCCATTTGGATAATATGGCTGATTATTCTCAGAACTTGATTCCGCGTCCAATTTAAGCAAAGAATCATATATGACTAGCTTTGATATAATTACCTCTTACAAAAACTGCTATAAATACTCTAATAATATGGACCGAAGGAAATCCAAGAAAAAGTAAAAAGAAAACAAAAACAAAAAAGCAAAAAATGAACGAGGACTTACCATTCATGTCTACTACAGTAGCACCCATCACTTGCGTAGCTAAAAGTAGCACACGATTGAACTCATGTAGTTCATCCTTAAATAGGAAAGATGATGATGATGACAGTGCTTCTGAATTTCCAAGAATGATTCGTAACTCTAATCAGTTACGTGCTAATTCAGTTCATAATCCTCGTCGTCCTGTTGTAGATTATTCTGAAAGTGAAGATGAAGGACAGGCTCAGTGGTTTAACCATAACAAGCCACCTCGTTCCACGAATGATATTTCATCACTTTTAAGAATGATGCTCAACCTCAGACAAGGTGCTGGTGCTGGTGCTGGTTCTTATGCTGGTCGTACTTCCCAACTGATTATTAACCAGAATCGTCGTCCTGTTGTGGATTATTCAGATACTGATGACGAAGTGATATCAGCTCACTACAGGCAGATTAAACACTTTAGCCATCCACATGCCTTGAACAAGTACGACGTTGAACGAGACGATGAAATTAAGTGCAAAGTCTGCGGGCTGCAACTTGTTGGCTCAGCTTATGGTTGTCAACCTTGTCAATTTTACCTACACGTTTCGTGCTTCGATCTGCCCCAAAAGATTAAGCATGATTCTCATCCTGCTCATCCTTTGACCCTTCGATATCCTTCATACTACAAGAACTGTGGAAAAAGTTGTGATGCTTGTTGTGAGGATATACGACGAAGTTTTCTATACTGTTGTGATCCTTGCAATTTTGATCTTCATGTTACTTGTGCTACCTTATATAGCATTGCGAAGAGAGCTGATTCACCAAAGGATACTCTTCGACTTTATTACTCGTTTCCTCTCAATGACAACAATCATATGCATTGGATTGCACGATGCAATGTTTGTAACAAGAAGGTGTCTAAGGAAGGTTGGTTGTATTACAGTAGGGATACTGGCTATATTGCACATATCAAGTGTGCTAAAGGTGCTAAAGTTGGGGTTTCTTGGATTAAAGAGAGACTTAATATGCTTAAAGTTAAGTAGAAGTATGTGAGAGGATTGATATATATATATATATATATATATATATATATATATATATATATATATATATATATATATATATATATATATATATATATATATATGGCTGACCAAGTGCTTGAAAATATATATAGGGTTATGCATGCATGTTGTTAAAATAAGGTTTTCTTGCACTGGCAGCCTATGAAATAAGCCCAGGATTGTGCTCTATCTAGTAGAATTGGTGGCCTGTGATGAGGCATAGGTTGTCTACAATAGCCACCATATGTATATATCTGATGCAATAACGTATAGTATAACAAAAAGAAAAAACGAAAAAAAAAAAAAAAGGAATGTCGACGATCTTAACTCGTCAGCTATGATTAATAAATAAGCTGTGTGTTTATTAGACAAGTTTATTTTCTGTTTTTTGCAAATTTTTTTAATTCTCTCAAAAGGGAGTACGAAATTACCTATCTTTGTTCTGTTAGTAATTAACAAAGATTATTATTCTATGTGCACTGGAAATTTACACTTTTAGAAGGCACATAAGATGGTCGAGGTGCTCAATATCCGAAAGAGTGATTTTAGAAATAATTTTGGGTTTCGGTCCGAGCTTACATAAAGAGAAAGAGAAAAAAAAAGGAAAAGAAAAATAACTTTAAACTATTTTATTCACTAATCAAAATTACACAGGACTCTATACGTTAAAATACTATTAACAGATTAAAGAACCTCTTTTGGTATATATATATATATATATATATATATATATATATATGTATGTGTGTGTGTGTGTTTTGGCAAGTCAATTACTCAAATGGTCAATCAACTATCCCAAATTACCTCCTAAAGTCAATTTTCTTTCGTTTGTAACAACAAAGACACTGAATTATGCCTATTGCACTCATAAGGTCACTCATCTAGATTTTTCAAAATTTGGATTGTCAAATACCTAATTTACCTTCTAAATTATAAACGATGATCTTCTTTTTATTTTTAAAAACCTTTTTAGTATTAACAACAAAAATTCAATAAATTTATTTAAACAATTCAGAATGAAAGAAAATAAAAGTTGTAAAATATATATTCCATGTACAGAATATAAAATATTTATTTAAATAAAGGTATTTTTATAATATATGTTATATATTCTTGAAAATTATGCTTAATTATATTATTATGTTTCTACCAACTTTCCGACAACACAAAGTTATGTCACCGGAAAGCGGGGGGATTATCCGTATAGGGTAAAATATGTTATGTTAAGTCGTGCATGGAATATATATAATATAATTGAGCATAATTTTTAAGAATATATAATCAATGTTATAAAAATACCTTTAATTAAATAATTATTTTTATATTACCTGCATGGAATATATATTTTACAACCTTTATTTTCTTTCATTCTAAATTATGTAAATAAATTTTTAAATTTTTTTTGTTAATACTAAAATTATTTGCTAGCAAATTATTCTTATTAACTTTTTTACTATGCTCATTATTTTGGTATTCAAGCATTATATATGCTTAAATACTTTTTATTTTTTAATTTATAAATAATTTTTATTTATTCTATAGGTAAGTTAATAATGTAAATTAAAAAGGAAAAAAATCATAATATTAAAAAGTTTTTAAAAAAATAAAAGAACATAAATGTTTAATATTTAGAGGGTAAAATAGGTTTTGACAATCAAAATTTGGAAAATCTAGTTGAGGGACCTTCCGAGTGCAATATGTATAGTTCAATGACTTTGTTGTGAAAGAAAAATGACTTTATAAGATAATTAAATAGTTGAGTGACCATTTGCCTAATGGACTCAAGTTTTGACCGAAAGAACAAAAAGTTCTAGATTAAATGTGGGACGATTTAATAGTACTTCTTTCATTCCTTTTCAATCAAAGAAGACTTAAGAGAGAGGGGAGCAACGTGAAGTTGTCTCAAAGGTTGAGAAAATGATTTAAAAGGAGTGATGTGAGTCTGTACCAGAATGGTGAAATTAGTGGCACACTCAACATTTATTGAAGTAGTGTTGATTTATTATCATATTTTAACTTATAAGCGGTCTGACTTTGAAATAATAATAATTTCTTAGTTTTACCTTCAGTCATAAATTATTATTTACTTTATACTACCATTTTTAGGCGGGATAGGAATAATGTACATATACGTTATTTTTTAAATATTATTTAAGCTATATAAAATAATTTTTTTACGCGAAACGCA